AGCAAATAAGTACATGTAATTTAAAAAATTGCAGTCTGGGTTATGATGTGAGTTTCATAAAAAGCCATTGAAGAGGGGCTGGAGATATGGCTCAGTTGCTATGGAGTGCTTGCTGAAGCCCCAGGTTCAATCCCAACACTACATAAAGTAGACTTGGTAGAGCACTCCCTACAATCCTAGCACCCAGAAAGTGGAAGAATAGGCATTCAAGGTCCTTATTGGCTAGTTTGAGAGGCCAGCCTTGTAGGTATGAGACATGGTCTCATAAAAAAAAAAAAAAAAAAAAAAAATCATTAATGGAATTTTGACTTAGAATTAGGACAGAATTTCTAGCAAAAAATTTTTTCTTTCCTGTTTTTTTTTTTTTCTTCAAGACAGGGTTTCTCTGTGTAGCCTTGGCTTTCCTGGAACTTGCTCTGTAGGCCAGGCTGGCCTCAGACTCACAGAGATCCGCCTGCCTCTGCCTTCTCAGGCGCTGGGATTAAAGGCATGTGCCACCGTGCCTGGCTTCCATCAAATTTTGAAATGGCTCTAAATTTACTTCTGCCATGTAGAAATATTATAAATATATTTATTGTAACCATATATATTTATAATGTGTGTTTGTACGTGTGCGAGTGTGCATACAAGCAGGCACTCCTGTTGGGGTCGGAGGAATTTGAGTGGCTGTCTTCTACGTCCATCATGTTTGAGACAAGGGTTTCTTGAGGTTTTTCCTCTGCTGTGTACCCCAGGCTAGCTGACTCTCTGGCTTCTGGAACTCGTCCTGTTTCCACCTCCGGTCTCTCCATAGGGGCACTAGGATATCGCAGACCTGTGCTACCACATATGGTTTTCCGTAGGGTCTGAGGATTCCAAATCAGGACCTCAGCTGAATGAGGTGTTGCCTGCCTTTAATCCCAGGACCAAGGAGGCAGGTGGAGCTCCCAGTTTGAGACCAGCTTGTCTACAAAGGGAGTCTCTGGACAGCCAGGGTTGTTACACAGAGAAACCCCATCTCAAAACAAAACAAAACAAAACAAAACAAAACAAAAATAGAATTAAATCCTCACACGTGTACAGCAAACATTTTATCCACTGAGCTCCCCTCCCAGCACACTTCTGCTATTTTTTACTACATATTTGTGAGAATCAATATCAGCTTGGATGATTATAAAATTAAAATATAAATCAACTTTGAAAGGGGTAGTGGTTGTAAATGCCTTTAATCCCAGCACTCTGGAAGCAGAGGCAGGCAGATCTCTGAGTTTGAGGCCTGCCTGGTCTACAGAGTGAATTCCAGGAGACTCGGGGCTAGGCTACACAGAGAAATCCTGTCTTGAAGACCCAAAATAAATGAATGTCCTGTATGCCCTGTAGTATTAAATGGTCAACTAACACTTAATTTTGTGTAAAATATACAAATTGCTTTTGTTTTTATCAGATGCTAAAATTACATACATACCTGTTACAACCTGCTGAAACCATAGCCCTATCCCTTGAGACCTACTTTAGTTCTTAGCATGACTATAGTTCTTCTGTTAACACCTGCTGCCAATCGCCTTTAGCACATCAGAAGCCCTTTCCCCTCTCATTCCCCATCTTGAGTATGAGGTAAAAATTCCCAGGCTCTACATCACTGAGAATGGTATAAATTCAATAGTTCAATGCTTGCTGCTTAGAATAAAACAATAGATGATAAATGCATGTTCTGCTTAAATTAAAGATAAATTTTTTTTAGAGGTAAGACCCATATATCTTTTCACTCTAGATGTTTTTTGCCTGAGAACTTTTTTTTTTTTCTCTGCATAGCCCTGGCTGTCTTGGAACTAGCTCTGTAGACGAGGCTGGTCTCAGACTCCATAGCCATCCGCCTGCCTCTGCCTTCCAAGTGCTGGGATCAAAGGCGTGCTGAGTGAAAAGATTTTTTAAGAAGACCTGTGCTAAGACAGCAAAGAAGAAAGAACAATTTAAAATGTAGGTTTCTGTACAAAAAGCTGAAGGCGGGGCTGGAGAGATGGCGCTTTCCAGATGATCTTTTTCCATTCTTTGAACTCATTTGGCGGCTAATAGCTGTTGTAACTCCAGTCCCCTCTGTGGCACTGCGGGAACATACCTGTACACAGGTATATGTGGTATGCGGACATACAGGTCACATAAAATAAAATCTTAAAAAAAAGCTGCTCTAGGTGTGGTGGTGCATATTTTTAATTTTAACACTCTAGAGGCTGAGGCACGCAGATCTCTCTGGGTTCAAGACCAGCCTGGTCTACATAGCAAGCTGCTACAGGCCGGTCAGGGCTACATAGTGAAACCATGTTTCAAAGCAAGCAAAGAAACCCTGAAGGTTTAATTTGCAAACCACTATTCTTAAATCTGTCATGGCTGAGTGAAAGTAGCTAAGGGCAATAGTGAATGAACAGGTCTGGTGGTATTAAGAAAAACGTTCAAACAATGGAAACTGAATTTTATTTAACAATCACGGGAGAGGATGAGCAAATAGGGGCTCTTTCGAGTCGTATTAAGCCTTACAGTGTATTTCGTATCTCAGAAGGAATCTGAACGTTCGCATAGTAAGCAGTTAGCTCAGCACTGCTAATGGTGTTTGTTTTGTGTTAACCCTTAGCCCAGGTAATCCTAGGGAAGAGTACAAGGCTTTGTGGCACAGACAGAGACAATAATGAGGGAGGCACAAGAGAACCTACAGAGAACCCAGAGAAGTTACACCACCTTGAACCTCAGAGACAAGGCTGACCAGAGCAGGAAGACTAAGCTTTGAAATGATTGACTGCCTGTTTCCATTCCATTAGAGCCAACTGGCTGGACATCAGAAGACAAACAAGTAGGATGTTGATCAGTTGTCTCTTTAGATCACAGAGTGCCTGAATAAAGCGAAGCCTGAGGATTCAATTCTGGTCCTCTACTCATTGGTGTTTGTGGTGAAGGGTTAACAGGAACTGTCTTTTGGTGACAGTGTCACAAAATTTATTTTCACTTTTGATAAGCTGCAGCACAGTCTGCAAAGCTTGAATCCTTTATTCTGTGGTTCTCGACAAGGAGAGCTTGTAGATTCGTCATAGATGAAAAATAGGTGAGAGGCTAGGCGTGTAATCCCAGCACTGGCGAGGCAGAGGCAGCTGGATCTCTTGAGTTCGAGGCCGGACCGGTCTACCAAGCCAGGACAGCCAAAGAATGCAGAGAGAAACCCTGTCTCGAAAAGCAAAACAAAAATGATGGTTATGCTTTTCTCCTCCCTTAAACAAACAAAAAACTTATGAAAGTTGTGCGCAGCTAATAAAACGCAGCCTTGCCTTCCGCATCTTTTCCTGAAAGACGGAACTCATTCCGAGATTCTTGGTAGAGCAACCCACTTGGCATAAACGCAGAACGGCGGTGACAGTGCAAAGGCACCAACACAAGTACGGAAAAAGATTTTTTGTTTTTAATTTTGAGCTCTGTCCCAGGACCAATCCCGCTTCTCCAGAGAAACGAAGTCGAAATCGTCTCCAGAGGTCACGGCAGGCTCCCCCGGCCCTCAGCTGGCTCGCAGCGGCGACGCCGGCCGAGTTAAGTTCCTTCCGCCCCACCTAACGGGGGGTGGGGGTGGGGAAGGGGGGCGGGGCGTGACGTCAGCGCGTCGGTCCCCACGTCCAGCTGGGAGACGACTGACCCGAGCGGCCCGAGCTGGCTCGGACCGCATCGAGCGCCCGGGAGCGGCGCGCACTGCGGCTGCGCAGGCATGCCGGGGGCGGGGCTTCGGGCCGAGCGGCCCCTGGAGGAGCGGCCGCCGGAGGCCGGGTAAATCCCGAGAGGCCGGAATGACTAGCCGAGGGGCTGCCCCGCCCCCGCCCCTCGGGCTGCTCCCGCCTCGCGTCGCCGCGGCCCCGCC